AAAAAAAAAGAAGGGAAAAGAAAAAGAAAGCAAATGTTTTGAGAATGATGATGGTAACAAATGTACAAATGGATGTCTGTATGGATTGTGATAAGAGTTGTACAAGCCCCCAATAAAACAATTTAATTAAAAAATAAATAAATAAAATGTGATTTAAAGTTAAAGTTATGGCCGGAGCTGAAAGGCTATAGGAAGTGTAGAGCTAAAATTATGGACCCTAAGTGGGTGGCTATAATACATTAAAAATGTATCTAAGACAAAAAATAATAACAATTTTAAAAAATGTATCTAAGGTATCCCAGGAAATGTGTGGCAGAGAAATGGATAGGCAGTTACAACATAACTAAGAGACCAGAGGTATTTGCCTCTGGGGTGCGGAGAAAAGAACAGTGTTACTTTACTAAGTCTTTAGTAGCAGTCCGAAAACGTGGGCCACTTTAATATAAAATAAGAAAGCATTGGACAACATATGTAAAAAATATTTAAGTTGCTCCTTACAGAGGGTAAGAGGATCAGGGTGGGGCTGTACACTGGGAGGGCTACTCAGACCCAGGCTGCGCATTGACCATGGGCATTCTCAGCCATCTGCTTCCTGAAACCAAAGGGCTGCACCTGCCTGGAACCTGCAAAGGCCTACCACTACAAATTACTGCAGCCGCAACAAGGACAAAGTCCAGAGGCACTAAAAAAGATCAACAAGAAAGGATCAATGGGGCAGGGCAGATTCTGAGAAAGAGCAATAGAATCATTGACAGAACCTGCCCAAAGCGCCCCCACAGCTCCCCACCAGGGCTCAGAAGGCCACCCTAAGTCCTGAGGGTCCAAGTCCAGAGCTCTAACTTATCCAGCTTTGCGTCCACTCACTTCTACGACACAGCGTAACTGAGGCCCCTGACTGACTGCTCCAGAGAGCAGAGAACTCAGGCTGGGGCGGTAAAACCCAGGGACCTGCACACACATGGACTACAGATGCCTACTTGATTCTGTATTTTCCCCAGGTCCTCAGCACTCAGCACATGGTCCAGCCTTCAGGTAAATGCCTGATCATGCTTGCCAACCAAGAGGCCTTGAAAATGGCCTTTTCTGTTAAGGGGTGAGGGGATCAGAGCCTAGAGACTCCATCGGGCACTGACTGGACTCTGTCCTGGGTACCACGGATGTAAGAAGGAGCACCTTACAGAAGGAAGGACAGGATTGCCTCACCGATGACAGCGTGGGTCCACTCGAGCTTGAGACTTTCGGCCCTGCAGGAACCTGGGAACAATCTCTCTCCAAAGATGAATCCATAACCTACCAGCACCCCTTCTGATGGGTGCCTGCCTCTCCTTTCCTGGATATTTAATAGGATTTATTCAGTTGAGAGTTATATTTTAGGGAACAAAGGAAGGGGGAAATTCTAAACATGGTCTCTTGACACATGTATCAATGAAGTGAATAATAAGTACCACTCGTAATTAAGTTGTTGAAAAATCCATGCTTTCACTATGGAAAGTACCTATAAAATTACAGCCCTTAACCGATTCCATGTCTCTGGTTAGAGACCTCTAACCACTGGCCTTGCTCAGTGGTTCCAAGACTGGCTGACTTTTCCTACAGATTTCACATGCACTTCTGGCCCTAGCAAACTGACCGATGCCATGTGGTATTTGCCTTTTATTTCACAACTCCAGTTATTTCTCACTAGCTCCCTGTGGTCTCCATTCTGCCTTCGAGACAGAGAACCATTTTACCAGCTTCATGGGATTTGGTTTCTTGATTTGGGCATTTAGGGTCATGATTTCATCGGACATTCCATGACTGTCCTATTTTTTTTTAAGGGTTTCCATCACTTTTATTGTTACGAGGTGAGGACCCCCGAGTGGGGCCTTGCAAGCTGATGCATGTGGTCCTAGGGATCACGGGGAGGTCACAATTGCAGACATGATCGCCACAACGGAAGGACACGGTCCAGGAATGCAGGAAACATGATCAGACGGGCTGGGGCGAGGGCTGGCCCCTCATTCCCGCTTCTTGTAGTTCTCCATGTGCGACATGATCCAGCCAGACGGCACGAAGAAACACAGGAAGGAGGTGGTGAACGCAAAGACACATTCCATGGTCCCGAGCTGCTCCAGCGGAGCCTTCGAGTGGATGTGGGCGCGCGGCACCAGGAGCCGCTGGGCCGAGCCCGTCAGGCCCCTCAGCAGCAGCGGCGTCAGGGCGGACATGGCAACCGGCACTGTCAGCTTTCAGCTGGGCCCAAGGTCAGGCGACTGTTCTACTTTTTTTAACTGACCTAAAGATGTACTCGGTGCTTCAGTTTAACTTGAAAGTTGTTTTTGTTTTGTCTTGTTTTTAACCTTGAAATTCTTGATGTGTGTAGGGAATTCATGGGCTAGATGAATCCCTGTCCTGAGAAAGACTTTAAACGTCAACCTTGAACCAAAAATATCCCTGAAGTCTTCTTTAAGTCAAGGCTATCTACTTTCAGCATTGTGTTCTTAAAAAACAAACAAACAAAAAACCATAAGGGAATACGAATGGCAACTCAAAGATGAGAGAGGAGACGTCTCGTAGGGAGGCGGTGCGTTAATTGAGGAGGAATGATTCGGAAAAGGTGAGATGTGATCAACGTCACTGAATTTCATTTGTAGAACGTGTTGGATTGACGTGTGCTCTGCTGTGTATATTCTCAACAATGACATCAGAGAACATGGCTAAAACAGGAAGAAAAGTAAATAGCAAAAAACACAAAAAGCCAGTAGCTGACACTGTCAAAGACCCCACCCTAGAGTGGATAGAATAGGGGGGCCTGCTACATATAACCTCCTCCCTGGGGGATGGACAACAGAAAAGTGGGTGAAGGGAGACATCGAACAGGGCAAGATATGACAAAATACTAATTTATAAATGATCAAGGGTTCATGAGGGAGGGAGCGGGGAGGGAGGGGAAAAATGAGGAGTTGATGCCAGGGGCTTAGGTGGAGAGCAAATGTTTTGAGAATGATGAGGGCAATGAAGGTACAAATGTGCTTGACACAATTGATGTACATATGGTGTACGTATGTACGTGATAAGAGTTGTATGAGCCCCTAATAAAATGATTTAAAAAAAAAGAAGAGGGGGCCTGGGCTGGCAGAGAGAGCTGTGAGCTAGACCTCCAGTAGAACTGCAAAAAGTCACCCCCTCTCCCTGGGTGAGCAACAAACCAACCCCGTGGATGTGTTCTGAGTCAGGAATGCCCAGTACCAAGACACTATACCTCTCTCATAAGAGTCTTCCGGAAACAGTCAAAGGTCCCAGAGTACATGGGAGGCTGTCCAGGTGCACTTGGGGGCTGGGTCTGCAGTCGGACCTAAAACCACAAAAGAGAATACCGTCACCTCCTAGATTTAAAACTGCCAGCAGCAAGGGCCCACGTGTCTGCCAAAATGTGGAAGGACAACTTCCACCTGGGACGTCTGTGTCTTCAGCATCCACTTAGCCAGCTGGATTCAGACCTCATTTTCCTCCAATGTATTCAAACCTTACATTCACAAGTCTTTCAAGATGCTTTCCGACAGTGGCAGTTCCTCTGACTTCCGCATCCACTCACTTTTCTTCATTAGTTCTCATCTGACAAATTCCACAATGATCCACTGGGATAGGTGCCCCCAGTTTACAGACAAGACATCGGGTTTAGTGGTTTAAGTGACTCCATTAACTAGAGAAGGTGGGCTGAGGCCAGACCTGGCCGATGACAAAGCCCGTCCATGTGTGGTGATGTACTTAGGTAGGGTGCCCAACAAAAGCATTTTGGAGAAAAGATGACTTTGCCCTGCTTTTCCTAGTCCTTATCACGCATGATCTGGTGTATTTAAGGCCTCGAACTGTCTTGCTCATTGACTCTCCCTTCTTAGTACTTCTCCTCTTGTCTGCTTTCACCTTGGATATTTTCCAAGGCTTAGCAGCCTACTTCTCTGGTCCAAACCAGGGCTTCAGACTCTATTCAGTGATGACTCTCACTCTACCACCATGGAGACCTTCCCTCCCCAGCAGGTTTAAGTCTGTTTCCAATGGTTTAGAGAAGCTTTTCCTATTTAAGATTGCCCAGTTGCCTCCAGCATCTGACCCGGCTGATGAATGCCCTGTTTGTTATCAGAGTCACGCCCTAACTCTCTCTTCTTGGCTCTGACCCTGTGTTAGCGTGGGTAGACTAGAGAAACAAATTCATTGACACATTCATATGTGTAAGGAAAGAGCTTTCCATACGAGAGCAATTGAATATTGAGCAAACACCCCAGCCTAGATCAAGTCCAGAAGTCCGATATTAGCCCATAAGTCCAATACCAATCTATAAAGTCCTCTTCAGACTCACGAAACACATGCAATGATGCCGAGGACAGGAAGATCACAGGCCAGTGGGCCAACAGTCTTGTGGATCCAGCAATGGTAGAAGCATCTCAGCGCTGGCATGGGTCTCCACGTGGTTCCTCCAGGTCCAGGGCTCTCGCTGCCATCAGCATAGCCCCATGTGTCTTGTCAGTAGAGAGTCTCTCGGGGAGTGAGCAGAGAGAGAGTGTCTCCCACCTCTAAGGAGGAAATACCCAAGTTCCCAGAATCCTCAGGAGAAAGCCATGCCCACACAGAGGCTTCAATGCCTATATCCTGATTGACAGGCCAGACTCCACCCCCACCCTCTTAAGCTTCAAATTGACAGGAGACCATGTAACTCCACGGAACCCTGGCATCACCACCTAGCTCTTCTTGCGCTCAGTACTCAAGCACCAAGTTCACTGCAGGGGTCAAGAGGCTCCTAGGCCCATAATGTTGCTACTCTCTTTGAGTCATTTTCCTAGGCCAAATGCCATCCACCTTCACCCAGGGTCACAGTTTCCCTGCTAGTCCTCTTACAGGCTGCCCCCTTCAAAAGCTGAGAAGGGGGTCCCAATTCTCCTGCCTTTGAATGTGGATCAGAGTCAGTGATTCACTTCTAATGAGTTGACTGTGGTGGAACTCATGCTAGGTGGCTTCTGAGGCTAGGTGATGAAAAAGCCAGCTTCTCCCTGGCTGTCAAATTATTTGTCCTGGATGCTGTGAGGACGGGTCAAGCAGTTGGGAGAGGTCCTCGTTGAGAACATGTGCCCTCCCAACAATAGCATGTGGGTGACACTCAGAAGTTGATCCTTCATGTAAGTGCAGCCCCAACCAACTTTTCCTTTATTTCTTTCACACACACATACACCTCGCCCCTTTTAAAAATGCATATTGTTTTTCGTACACTGAACAGAGTTGTGCAACCTCCATTACATTCAATTGTAGAATATTTCCATCACTCCTACCCATTCAGTAATCACTCTCCATTCCTCTCTCTTCTCAGCCTCTGGCAACCACTAATCCTCTTATCTCTACGGACTTACCAATTTTGAATATTTCTCATATACAGTATACGGAATCATACAATTGTGGTCATTTGTGCCTGGCTTCTTTCACTCAGCAAAAAAAAAGTTGTGTTTTGTTTTGTTTTTCAATCATTTTATTGGGGGCTCCTACAACTCTTGTTGCAATACATACATCAATTGCATCTGACATATTCATACATATATTCAATCATTGTTTCCTAGACATTTACTTTCCACTGAGTGCTTGGGATCAGCTCCTCTTTTTTCCCCTCCCTCCCCACCTCCCACCCGGCAACCCTCGTGGCCCCTGATAAGACTGTAGATTGTGAATTATGCAAAAAAAAGTTTTTAAGCTTGTCCGCGCTGCAAAATGTACCAGCGCTTCACTCATTTTTTACTGAAGTATAACCTTGTATTATGTGAATGTCACAACTTGTTTATCCACTAACTAAAGCAATAAGGAGTTTTTCTTTAAAGAGCGGTCCCAGAGATTAGAACACCTGGAATGAGTAAAGTCCCTTCCCAGACTTCAAGACCCGAAACAAACAACTCAGAAAAGGAGACTGAAATGGTTGCACAATTCGTGAATTTCATCAATGTCACCGAGGGTCCAGGCACAAACAGGTGAATTGGTGTATGTTTTGCTGTGTGCATTCTCAACAAGCATATATATAATATGCAAATCTGAATGTATATCATTCTTATAAATCTGAAACAAGACCTCACCCTATATGGATTAGGGGGATGACAAGGGCCCTGCCTGGACAGTGCTACTTACAACCACAATGGCTTCTGAAAGCACTAACACACAGCGCTTACCATCAGCTACATAAATATCCAATTTCATGTTGCACAGTGCCCTCAACGGCCCGCCTGGTTGTGCTAGACCATCACTCAAGTACTAGTCTAGTTGGGACAGCACCTCCTCTGGACGAAGGCCACAAAGGACCTGCTGACCCAGTCTGACGAGATAAGTATGGCAGAGGTGTTTCCAGTGAAAGAAAGCTGATCCACCATCCTAACAGGCCCTGACTTAGATCTCTTCCCAGTAGGCCCATTCTGGCCAGGTTTTATCCATTTCCTCCAAGTCTGTGTGCAGAAATAGGCTGGAAAATGATCTTTCATTAAAGTGAAAAACACTTTTACCAAGTCCTTGAATGCCAAACTTGCTCAAGATGTTGGACAGGGAAGAGTAGAATTGTGCACTTGAGGAAGACCAGGAAACACATCTTTATGAGTTTCCTCCCTGCCAATGCTTCGGTTTGACAATGGCCCTGAGAGCGACGGTCGGCCAGGCCAGGGCAAAGCCACACACCTGCTTTCCATTGTAGAGAAACAGTTCTGGCAGACAGCATCTCTGAACAAGGGACCGACCGTCGGCCTCTGCCCAGGAGGCCACTCAGGTGGCCAGATGCCTCCCTGGGCCTGGAAAGGTAAGAAGGGGACAGTGACAGGTCACTCTGGCCCTGGGAGAGAACGTCAAAGACAGCTCTATAGTAATCGCCCCTCTGTCTTTAGCACCCCTCTCAGGGCAAAACAAGTACCTTGTAGAACCTGCCTTGGGAAACGAGCTAAAGAGATCTCTGACCTTTCCTTCCCCCCAAAATGGCACAGGGTCAGAATGGCTGAACAGAATCCTTTAAATCAGACCCCGTGCGGGCGGTAAGACGCAGCTCCCTCTGCTGAGCGGGCTCTTTAGAGCACGACGTACATACAGATTCACCCCGAAAGGGGAGAATGGGCAGACCTCTCAACTTTTCAAGAAACTCGCATCGACCACCACCCCGCAACCCCCTTTCAGTCCCGCGGTGGCGCAAAGCGCCACTTCCCCCTTAACCGGTCTCCCGCGGCCGCCCCGCACCTTGACCGTATCCAGGGGATGCCCCACGAACACCAGGCACATGCCGCCGAAGCCGCCGGCTAGAAGATTCTTGATCGGACTGATGGGCTTCGGCTGGTTAGCCATGGTCCGCCAACCTGTCTGCCAGTCTCCAGGACTCCCCGCTCCGTTGCGTCGCCCAGCTGCAGCGCGCGCGCTGCCGACCTTTCACCCACTTCCAAGTGGGCGGGGACTACGCCCAGAGGCCGTCGGGAGGAGGGCTTCCCAAGCCCGCCGGGCTTCCGCAGGGGGCTGCTTCCGGCCGCGGCCCCGCCCCGTGGGCGTGGCGGAGGGGAGGGGCTATCCGTTACGCAGTCTGCGCGCTTCTCCTGTGAACCTCCTCCTCCAGGAAGCCTTCCAGGACTGAGCGGTTTCCCCCTCTGGACTGCCAATCACTCGCACACTCCTTAGAGGTCAGCTGCGCTCTGCTATGTGCCAAATGCCCTTCCAGATGCTGAAGGCATTACAGATCTTAAACAAAGGCAAAAAACGTGGAAAAGGCATAGTGGTGGGTGCTAACTGCTAGGGAGGAAAATAAAGACGGGAAGAGAAGTAGGCATCAAGTGAGGCAAGTTCTGTACATGCAATTCACAATTTTAATTAGGTAAGGGAAGGTCTGACGGAGGTTACCCTGGATTCAAGTTCTGAGGAGGTGCAGGAGTGTGTCCTACCCTATAAATATGGGGTGGGGAAACTTTCCAGGGGAAAAAAGCAAAAACACGGATATGGACAGGGCCTGGCCTGTTTAGGGAGCCACAGGAAGGTGAAGCCAAATGTGAGGTAGCGGGTGACTAGTGGGCTGAGCACAGAGAGGTTGTTACCTACCATAAGGTTGAAAGGAAAGACAATTCCGTCACAAGGCCAGGTGGTTTACAAACAGCAAAGTTTGTTTCTCACCTGGGTGCTGACAGGCTGAGGCAGAACAGGGCATCGGTCCGAGCTGAGGCTACACCATGCATCAGCCCTGAGCTCAGGGCCTGGTGGCCCTCCACACTGTACAGAAACGAGGAATGAGCCTTGGTGCCTCTGCGGTGGGAAATACAGGCTGACGTCTTCTTGATGGACCTCCGCTATGTGAGCTGCAGGTAGTCACTTTCGGTCTCATCATTGGGGATTCCCTGATTCCTTTGTGGTCCTCACTGTCCTCGATTCGATGGTTTCTGAAAAAGGCACATTCTTCCCTGTTTGTTTACAGAACGTTTTACAGGGTCAGCCTTGGGGTAGAACTTTATAGGGTGCGCTCGGGGGCAAACATGGAAGAACTGTGATTCTTAGCAGACTCTTAAGTCTTACAGTTACAGGTAAGGGGCTTGGAGAGGATTGCACCTCAAAGGCTCTGTAGGAGAGAGTAGAACTACTCCAGGAGGGTTTTCTTTATTGAAGCTGGTTTTTCTCCCAGGGAACTGCTTGGTGGGTTCGAAACTGCCACGCTTTCTCCTTAACAGTCAAGTGCTTAACCATCTATCTGTATGCCAACAGGGCTTCTAGAACGGTAAGGTGGCACATCAAGTCGGGCTTTGTGCACCATTGTGAAGACATTGGCATTTCCTCTAAGGCAGCGGTTCTTAACCTATGGGTCATGGCCCCTTTGGATGTCAAATGACCCTTTCACAGGGGTCTTCCAATTCATAACAGTAGCAAAATTACAGTTCTGAAGTAGCAATGAAAATAATGTTATGGTTGGGGGTCACCACAACATGAGGAACTGTATGAAAGGGTCACGGCATGAGGAAGGTTGAGAACCACTGCTCTAAGGAGATGGGAACCATGGTGGGGTTTTGAGCATGGGGATGACACCATACAGTTTATGAATTGACAGGATCCCTCTGGCTGCTGGGTAAGAACACAGGAGGAGACAAAGATGAAACAAGGAGTTTGGAGGAAGCTAGGATATTATGGCTTGGACTTGGATATGATGAGAAGTAACCAGGTTCTGGATTTATTTTGAAGGCCCCAACATTCAGGAATAAATAGGCGAAAAAAGGTGTGTTCAAGAGGAGATATGAACGATTAAATGTTTTAGCCTTAACAATTGAAGGAATAAAATCACCTCTAACCAAGGTAGGAGAAGGCCAGGAGCTCAGAGTTTTGGACATAGTAAGTTTGAAATGCCTATTTTTTTTTAAATTCACTGCGAGTGGATTCTGACTCATAGCGACCCTATAGAACAGAGTAGACCTGCCCCTGTGGGTTTCTAAGGCCATAACTATGCATCATCTCCTAGAAAAAGAGGTTCATGCAGAATAGATAGGCTTTGGTGCCTTGCCCCAGACCCTCCTTGGGTGGCACAAATGGCTTATGTGCAACTACTAACTGGAAGATTGGTAGCTCAAACCCACCTACCAGTCCCACAGAAGAAAGGCCTGGTCCCTGCTGGATGCTCACTCTCATGAAGTGATCACTGAAGGGTACTACAGCAAAGTATGGTGAAGAAAGTAGATGGTGTCCGGCTATCAAAAAGAATAGCATCTTAATGCTGGCAATATATGTACAAATGTGCTTGACACAATCGATGTACGAATTGTTACAAAAGCTATATGAGCCCTCAATAAAGGCTTGTCTTCAAACAAGCAGCCACCTAAGTGAGGCATCAACTAAGTCCACATAGATGAAGCATACCAGCCTGTGTAATCCAAGTATGATAAGTAATAAAATCCAAACCCAAAGGAGGGAATGGTATCAAAGCTTAAATTGTGAGCCCTCGATTTGCAGAACGCAATGAAAGGCAGTGGGAACCCAAAATCCATCTGCAGGGTCTCTACGTGGATTAAACCTCTAATACATCCCCTCTAACCACAGTTAAGTGACGTGAATAGTTTTCCTATCAGACAGTGTATATTGTAAATTCAATTATGGTAGATGTGATTCTGTTAAAATGTAATCTCTTAGGCTTTCTATTCAAAAAATAGACAACAAGATCAGATTTGTTATCGAAAAATCTATTTTTGGTAGAGAATTCTTAGTGGTGCAGTGGTTAAAGCACTCCGCCACTAACCAAACCTGTTCAAACCCATCAGTGCTAACCAAAATATTCAAACCCAGAAGATGTGGCAGTCTGCTTCCGTAAAAATTTGCACCTCCCCCCCCCCAAATTTTACACCCTTGGAAACCCTATGGGGCAGTTCTACTCTGCCCTATAGGATCACTATGAGTGGGAATTTACGTGATGGCAGTGGGTTGGGTTTGGAACTGGGGTATTCTGGATGGATGGAATTCCGTGGGGTGAGACTGGAAGTAGGGGTACTGCTGGAAGATAAGAGAGAATGGCAACCGAGCCAAGAGACAATGAAGGCATGCACTGAAGCAGAGGTTGTGGAAGGGCAGAAAAGGAGACTCTGAATGCACAGAGACATTACCAGCAATCCAGCAGTAGTTCCTGGTTTCAACGCACTGCCTTTACATGTGCATAGCACGTCTGAGGGTCATGAAATTTCAATGTTCACTCGCTGGTGACATTTAGAAGCAGTTCTGAGGAGCATTGACTGTGAGGGTTGAAAGCTAAATCGCCAGAAGGAAAAGGCAGTGAGAGTCTGTTACTGTTTTAGGGTCAGCGCAAGGTTTAGGTTTCCATGTCGAAGATGGGGCTGGGGCTGAAGGAAATGCTAAGAAAGTGAGATTGCAGGAATAAAGGGGGGGGGCGGGGAGGAAAAGGTACAGTGGACAAAATAAGGTCTCCCTGGGCTCGCAAGAATGGTGTCCAGTGTGTTTGCCATCACCTGGCAAGCAAGCTTCTCTCCTAAATGCAGATCCCAGACCAGCCCTGTTGATCAATCGGGCACATCCCTGACAGAGCTCAAATGTGGGCTCCATTCAAACCGACCAGGTTCTATTAAGCCCACATATGGTAACTGATAGTTTGCTAAATAAATCATCTCCCTGTTTCTTAATCTGATCAACTGAACACATAGCTAGAAAACCTATCTGAAATTTGTCAGTCCCTGAATAGAAAATCTTCTTCTTTTTCATTCTTTCCTTTTTTAAATAATTTTATTGGGGGCTCGTACAACTCTTATCACAATTCATACATATATCTATTGTGTCAAGCACATTTGTACATTTGTTGCCATCATCATTCGCAAAACATTTTCTTTCTACTTGAGCCCTTGGTATCAGCTGATTTTCCCCCTCCCTTCCCATCCCCCCTTCCTCACGAACCTTTGATAATTTATAAATTATTATTTTGTCATGTTTTCCACTGTCCGACGTCTCTCTTCACCCACTTTTCTGTTGTCTGTCCCCCAGAGAGAGGGTTATATGTAGATCCTTGTGATCGGTTCCCCCTTTCTAACCCACCTTCTCCTTACCCTCCTGGTCACCCTACTCTCATTATTAGTCCTGAGGGGTTTATCTGTCCTAGATTCCCAGTGTACATCCTCTGGTCTAGCCGGATTTGTAAGGTAGAATTGGAATCATGTCCCAAAAAAACCAAACCTTTATTGGGAGGTAGTACAGATATCATATCATTCCATAGTTCAATCACATCAAGCAGTATTGTGCAATTGCTACCATAATCAGTTTCAAAATATTCTCTTTCTTCTTGAACTGCTTGATATCAGCTCCCCTTCAAACACGACCCCCCACCCCAAAAAAAAATCTTCTTGGCTCCTTATTGCTTTCAGAATAAAATGCAAGAGATCCAGGGGCATTTAAGGCTCTTTCATAATCCCATGCTAGTTAAATTCTCTTTTATTGTGGTACAATGATATAACATAAATTTACTTTTGTAACCATTTTAAGTGTAAAATTTAGTGGCATTTATGATGCCACTGTGCAACCATCACTAGTTCCGGAATTTTATCACCATCCACAACAGAAACTCTTTTCCCAACACTCTTCCACTTTCTGTCTTTTTTTTTTTTAATCATTTGGGGTGGGGGTGGGGGCTCCTACAACTGTTGTTACAAACCATACATCAATTGTATCCGACATATTCGTATGTATATTCCATCGTTCTTTTCTAGACATTTGCTTTTCATTGAGCCCTTGAGATCAGCTCCTCTTTTTTCCCCTCCCTCCCCACCCCAGCCCTCATGGCCCCTTGATAGATTGTAGATTATTAATTATTTTCAAATCTCTCACCAACTGCTGTCTCCCTTCCCTTCTGGTTTCTGTTGTTCTTCCCCCTGGATG